AGATAGGCCTCTCTAACCATCACATTTAAAATAGCGGGTCCCTCCTCTTATTTGCTCAGGGCCTTTATTGTTTCCTCCATAGCATGTAGTTTCATTTACTTCCATATTTGTTGTCAGTCTCCCTTACTAGAAAATAAATTCCATGAGGGCATTTATGAAGTCTGGCTTGCTTACTCTTTTTTCTCTTCATCATATAAATATTACATTCAAAAACAGAATACTCAATAAAAATAAGGCAAAAGTAGAGGTAATATAATATCTGCTTTTTAAAGATCTAATGCCAGTCCTAAAGAAACTGCAAGTTTATCAGAACACTACAGACACAGTATATCAATTCATGTTTCACGACTTCAATGTGTATATATAAACATATATATATATATACAATTTTTATTTAAAAGTTAACATTGTGTATGTATAAACAATTTAATCCTTCTGTATAAGTTTAGTTTGATTACATGATTAACAAAGCACACGGAACAAAGTTAATCCATGTTTATTACTTAACTACCTGTACTTATCTCCACTGTATGTATAGTCCCAAGAAATGGTGAGTCAAGAACACAAGAAACTTCTATAACTTTAGGGATTTGGTTGACTGATGGACAGTGTGAGATAACGTCTATTCTCTCACCATTTAGGACAAAAGAAATATATAGTCAGAAGTACTCCTGTGTGTGAAAGAAGAAAGAGAGAGTGATTGAGATATGGTGTCTGTCACAGGGGAAAATAATTAGTAGAAGAAAATACAAGAAATCACTGATGCCTTTTGCTACTTATTTACACTAGCAATGATTACTGAAGAAGAAATTTTCAACTTGGATTTTTATTAATATTTAATTTTGTAACGTAAGAATAATACAAATTCCATATAGAAAAGTTTGAAAGTATTTTGAAAATGTAAAAAGATATTATTTAATCATTAATTTAAAAACATATATATATATATATTTGACCCTTGAGAAAATCTATATTAAAATTGCATTATTCATGTTATTTCTAGTTTGAAGACAAGACCCTTAAAGAATGTTGTGTAATTTTTGTGTAAAAAATAATTTTAGATATAGTCTTATCCCAAACTCAGAACAAAAAGATTGAGATAACTAGTGCATATCAATGCCATTCTATATTCTATTTTAAATACTAATCATAATGGCTAATACTACAATGGCTCACTTAAGTTTGTTAATGCATAAAAAATACATTCTAGGTCGTTTTCATACTTATGGAAAACAAGAAAAGCATGTGATTTCAACCTCTTTCACTTTTACAATCAGTTTATCCATCAAATTTTATATAAGGAAAGGTCTTTTAGAAATATTCTTTATAAATCACTCAGTTTTCCTTATTGAACACAATTTTCAATATTTTCAGTAAAGTTCACTCTTCAACTTTCTTAAAATATTTCAATTCCCCCCTTTCTGTAAATGTAAGAACAACATTCGGTCTTACAGTTTGTGAACAATACTTATGTCAGTTCAACTAATTTAGGGCTATGAATTTAAATAAGCAGGTATTTTTCAGATCAGCTATGTTCACCTGTATTTACATACAACTTAGTGGATTTTAGACTTAATTCATTCAAATTAATAAATTTAATGAAACTAATGACTCAAACTATTGTTTTCCTTGTATATTTCATTTTTCACTGAAATCCCTGAGTGGAGGAGAAAGATCAATTCACACAATCTTGGTAGTAAAACGAACTCACCAGACTCTCATATTCAAACCATATTTTGATTTAATGAATTATTCGAGTATTGATTATTTTTGGAAACATGAGTCACACCCTGAGAGATGCATCAACTCTTTTTAGACTAAAGCAGAGTAATCTGTGAATTAACGGATCCCTGGTGGCTATTAACCACTGAGATTGATATACATGGTTACTGACATAAGAAACAAGATTGTATTTTATATTCTCCTAACTATCCTTTTAGTACAAAAATAAAAGTTTTCAATTCTTAAGAGAGTAAAAACTGTTACTTTTAAAGTTGCCAACACGAAATAAATACTGTGGTTTTAAACAGAGGGAAAATTAATGGAATAAGGGAAATTTAAGTACAAATCATGTTTTCATTTACTTAATCAGATGAAGTGATCTAGGAAGCAGCTTTACTTTTTGATCAATTCAAGGAGGTTTCAGTAATAGGAAGAGAGTCAAACTGATTTATTTTGTATTTATGGCGCAGAGATTCACAGCCAGTTAAGAAACAAGAGAAGAGATGCTTCCTATTTTCAAGTTACTCTTAGCACATTGTAAAAAATGAAATAGTTCACTTTTTTGATCCTTTTATTCTATCTATGTATGCAAAACGAGGAATGAGGAAGAGGATGATGCCTTCATTCAACCATGAAATATTTTATATAATTTGGTAAAAATAAATCACATTAAAGTTTACTTTGTGATTACTCTTAATGAGAAGACAAATTATATTAAAATGAAAATTTACCCTCTGCAACAATTTTAAAAAATAAAACAAGAATTCCATTAGCTCTTAGGACAAAAAGTTACTAGAAAAATGAATACATATGCTTAAAATTAAATATTAAGCCTATTATCAATGCTTATTATGTACAAAGATTTGTATTTTGCATTCATATTTCTATATTGTACATGTACTTCAGTAATTCTACAATACCTCATATTTTCAATGTTTACAAATTGGCAAGATATGTTGATTCATGTCATCTATTTTCAAAACTACAAATAAGAAAATATCTTTTTGTTCATAAAACAACATTTTGAAGTTGCACATTTATCAACTATTAGCATGATTATTTCAGCATTCAAAAATTCTCTCAAGATATTATAAGGCATAATTTTGAACCACTGTAACTTTAAGCCATAAAAAGCATTTTAAAAGCAATTATTTGTATCTGACGAAAAAAATCTGAGCATGTTTTCTCCATAATATTCTGCTGAAAAACTCTAAATTTTACCCAACTTACCCTTTAGGTATGATATTATTCAAGTGTAACACATAGCTTGTGTCTTTAGACTATTAGTACAAATCCAAATTAAGAGTTTTTGGAGACTATCTTTAATGATCTTATTTGTTAGGTAAGTTAAGCAATATTCACTAAGTTAAGCTAATTTACAAAACACACATAAGTTAGATATAATTGGTAAATCTTTTAGGTAAAACGTCTTGTAAAAGTATGAGAAAGCTATTAAAACAGATAAATAAAAATTACTGCAAGAGTTGACAAACAACTTCCCTATCCCTTAAATTTAATATGAATATCTGAAAGGTCATACTTTAATACTTGAGACACTTTGGTAGAATGGCTCTTTACTCATTTGAAGAGTCTAACATGTGTTTTATTTTTGGTAGTATCCTCAGGGCCTAGGATGGTTACTGGAACTTTGAAAATGTAAATTTTGATTTAGGGACATGATTGAAATGATATAACTGTTAAAATATTCCTAGCAAACTTGACTTTAAGTGTACACATCTTTAGAAGCCCTAGGCACATTTAGTATAACATAAATGTCTGATTTTCCAATTACTAAAAATCGTTTTTCTTTTCAATAAAAAGGTCAAGTAATTACGCATTATTTTAAACAATGTTCAATTTTCAGAGGTAAATTAACTACCCCTTTGATATTTAATGCCAACAGTCCTTGAAACCAAATAAGGGATGTGTGTGAAGGTAAACACCTCCATAGGAGAGCGTGGCACTATAGGTGATACTCATAGAATACATTTTCAAAGGCAAGATGGTTGTGTATGGTTTTCAAGCTGACATATGCATTTGTGATTGCAATCTGGAGGTAAAAAAAACAGGCAAAGAATTAGAAAATCATGTCAAAAGTATCAGTTACATAAATGAGAACTGAATATTCATTCTAAATGATTCTATTTCTAACAAACTGGTTGTATATGTTTATGACAAAAAAGAAGGCTGTGTTGTTCTAATTTCCTTCACCCTTAACCTTCTCACCCTCGCAAAGGAAGCGCACATTTTCATGCCATCTGACCTCTATTTATATACCTGCAAATTATTTCGAGACCTTGTATGTTGAATGGTAACTCTAATTGAAGTTTTATATTTGAGGTGTTTTAAAAGTGTGACGTAACAGGTGACACCGGCGGTCATCACAGTGCCAGGGAGAGCATCCAGCCAGGTACATGCTGGAAAACTTTTATGGCTGTTCCCCTCTCAGTCTAGGAGGATTGAGACTATGGAGGTGATTTCTTTTATATAGATCTTTAAATATTCACAGCAGAAATCCAATGAGTGTGTCTCATAAAGACTGTTGGATAGAAAGCGGAAAAAAAAAGTTCAAAGATTCTCAGTGCTTTCCATTCGGTAAACCTCACTTTCACTTTTCACAGGCTATTCATCTTCACTTTACCACTTTACCTGACTTTAGGCATAGAATATTCACGACTTCTTAATTTACACCTAATACCCGCAAACCCCCCTCCCCCCGCCCCGGCCCCTTCGGGCATTTGGGCTGGAAATAATCCGGAATAATTTCTAAATTCGGTCGGGATGGGGTAAAGAGCTTGCAGCTGGGCGAGGGTTTGGCTTATAGAAGGCTCAAGGCTGGTTATTTGGCCAGGGGCTACAGCGAGAACGATCTGCTTTCTTGCAGGCGTGCAGGAGAACCTCCACGGTACCGCGCCGTGAGCGACCGCAAAGAGCCAGAAGTCTCCATTAAGCCTCCACCACAGAGCCTGACCTCCCGTGGAGACCGCGCGGCGGGGAGCGGTCCCGCGGCTGCCAGTGGTGGGACCTAACTGCTGCTGATGCTCACGCATCCATTTAAAGACATTCTGGAAGCAGAACAGACCGCTCCTCGTGAGGTCTCCGGCCCCGGGCGCTGTGGACAGGCGCTCTGGTGAGGAGACATCCTCGACCCCCTCGTGTGGAGAGCCGGGAGAAGCCCACCCCGAGACGAAGTTACCTGCCAAGAGGCGACCAACGCACCGGTCCTCGGAGCACCCGCCTCCTCCCGCCCCATCTTGCTTCTCCACCGGCCCCCTTACCTTGGTTGTTTGAGACGTGACTGCAGTCGCCTGGCCAAGCTGTCAGCAGAGGCAAGAAGAAGAAACCAAATTGCAAAAGAAATTCCCGGACTTCGCTGCCCGCCATGGTTCTCCCCGGCTCTCTTCTCCTCCCCCTTAAAGTGAAGTGGCTCAGCCAGGTGTTCAGCGGCGGGTCCGAGTCCACGTCTTCTTCCTCCTCCTCTTCCTCCTCCACCCGGCCCACAGGGGGTGTCCCGGGGCGACCCCCGCGCGAGGCCCCGGGGGCAGGGCACGAAGGTCCAGGCTGCCCAGGTGCAGGCGCAGCTGCTCCGGAGGAGGACGCTGCCGGCGGCGCCAGGGAGCTCCTGGCGGCTGTAGGCGAGCGGAATTGCATCCACCGCCGTGTCCCGCTCGCGCGAGGACTATTCACTTGGGCCTGGGAGAGCGCGCGCGCAGGAGCGAGCTCGGGCTGTGGTTTGGGGGAGGGGAGCGCAGGGGCGGGGGAGGGCGCCTCACGGCGGCAACGGGGGAGGGACGGCCAGGTGCGGCGGCGGCTCGGGCAGCTCTGCCGGTCTGCGCGCCCCTCCGAACTCAAGAGTGGGCACTTGCGGAGCCAAAAGCAGGGCGCGCGCCGCAGCTCTGAGCGGGCGGGGGCCGCGGGAACTTTCCTCCGGCCAGTGCGGCGAGAGCCGAGCGCCTGAGGAGGGGCCGCGAGCGGTCCGAGCGAGCTACCGAGCTGCGCTCTCAGCCCGTCGCCTAGGTGGCGACGGCCGCGGCCCGCCGAGCGAACCCCTCCAACTCGGCCGCATCTGCGCCGCGCTTCGGCCTCGGCAGCCTTTTCCCCGGCCTGTCTGAGGCCGCACTTAGTCTCCCAAGCACTTTCCTTCCCATCTCGCGGCAGCAGCGTCCAGCGTTTTAGAGCTACTCTGCACCCCGCAGGGCTACCCCCGACTTCACATTTCCGCTGCCGGAGGGGGCGAGTGCTGTGGCCGAGCGCTCCGCGTCCGGCTTGAGCTTGGCGGCGGCGGCGGACCAGCCTGACCGCTCCTCAGCCTGGGTCGCCCAAACTTGCCCGGTAGGGCGAGAGCCTGGGCTTGGCGGCCGCCTCCGCAGCTAGTCCTAGGAGAGCGAAGGCAGGCAGCCAGCTGCAGAGAGTCACCTCAGGCTGGAGGCGGGCGGGGGCCTGGCGCGGGGTCTCACTGAGGTCTCGTCGTCACCGTGCGGCCGCGACTTCACAGCGGAGGTCACGAGCATGGTCGCAGCCGCAGGCGCCGGGGTTTCGGGGGGCCCGGGACGCCTGCAGCGTGACGGCGTCGGACCGCGCACTCGGAGAAGCCTCCGGGCTGAGCTGTGCGTGGCCGCCTCCACAGCCGCGCCGACTGCCTGCGAGCGGACCGCTATCCCCGCGGAAGCCGCCCCCCTCGCGGCACCCGCTCCCTCCCAGCGCTCCACGGCGCCGGATGCCGGATGGGACCGCCCGGCCCTGGCCCCCCGTGTGGGGAGTTCGGAAAGGGGGCAACGCAGGTGCTAACAAGAAGGGTCTCGGGGCGCCTCGTCCTGACGCCCTAGCCTCACGGCCGAGGCGGACGTGGAGGGTAGGGGCCGAGCCGCCAGCGCCGCCCAGCTCCGCCGAGCCCGGCGCTGGCCCGTCTGGCTGCCGCCGCTCGGCTGCTGCGAACCGGGCGCTAGAGGGGGTTAGTAGACAGCAAAAAATGCCTCCGCTCCTCGCAGGTGGAAGAGGCTGGCCACCCTAGGAACCTCAGGAAGGAGGAAGAATGCGCCCAGGCTACACTTAACACGTTTAGGAAGGGCGCGCCAAGGAATCTGTGCCACTAGTGTGGGGGTTCTGTAATAGTTTATTCGCTGTTATTATAATCATTTTAATTGAACGGACTTAGGGTTTTACAGTCGAGTGAGGTCGAAAATCCCACCTCTAAATTCATGAGTATGTTTTTTAAAATATCTATGACAGGGAAGAAAAGTAAACCCAGAAAAAAAAAACACCCCGATATTATGAAGGGTTATCTTTCTTCTCTAGGGCAGAGGGAGGGAAATGGCGCAGTGGCGGGATTTGGGAAAGTAGTAAATGGAAGAGCAAAGGATCTGAGTTCGACGCTTAGAGAATTCTGGAGGAGAAAACAACCTTCCATGCGACGCGTTTCAGCGCTGCTATGTTTGTGTCACACACAGTTGAAGTGGTTCCAGTTATTGCGCTATAGTCAGTGGGAGGCAAAGAGAAAGACAGCAAAAAGATGCCCCACGTCTAAGTCGGCTGCAAAGGAGAGAAGTATGAAAGGCACATGATTTTGAGGTTGTGAGGAAGGTTTCCGATTGGTGACTGTACTTCCGCTTTCTGAATTCAAACACTGCCCTCTTTAAAGGTGTCCATGCTAAGTTAAATGTATGCAGAAAACTTCGGAAAAGATAACCGAGTATGGAGTTTATGTATTAGTACTCAAAGGAATAAAGTCTGATTTTGCTACTGATGCTAACACTCTTACTGATAGACTGTCAGTATCATTTGCAATATGCATTTGCAAACTCAGTTTACAATTTATTAACTGTAAAATTAAAAGATTACATTATAATATAAATCATTATGCTTAAATGTTCATAAAGGCGTTAGATGATTCAATAATTTATGTTTTGATTTAGAATAATCTTTATATTTACTGTCGTAGAATATAACTTCATGGCCTTTTTATAATTAAATTTGAATTCCTTATGTTTAAATCTTTTTTTTTTTCATTTATTTTTATTAGTTGGAGGCTAATTACTTTACATCATTGCAGTGGTTTTTGTCATACATTGAAATGAATTAGCCATGGATTTACATGTATTCCCCATCCCGGTCCCCCCTCCCACCTCCCTCTCCACCCGATCCCTCTGGGTCTTCACAGTGCACCAGGCCCGAGCACTTGTCTCATGCACCCAACCTGGGCTGGTGATCTGTTTCACCCTAGATCATATACGTGTTTCGATGCTGTTCTCTTGAAACATCCCACCCTCGCCTTCTCCCAGAGTCCACAAGTCTGTTCTATACATCGGAGTCTCTTTTTCTGTTTTGCATATAGGGTTATCGTTACCATCTTTCTAAATTCCATATATATGTGTTAGTATACTGTAATGGTCTTTATCTTTCTGGCTTACTTCGCTCTGTATAATGGGCTCCAGTTTCATCCATCTCATTAGAACTGATTCAAATGAATTCCTTTTAATGGCTGAGTAATATTCCATGGTGTATATGTACCACAGCTTCCTCATCCATTCGTCTGCTGATGGGCATCTAGATTGCTTCCATGTCCTGGCTATTATAAACAGTGCTGCGATGAACATTGGGGTGCACGTGTCTCTTTCAGATCTGGTTTCCTCAGTGTGTATGCCCAGAAGTGGGATTGCTGGGTCATATGGCAGTTCTATTTCCAGCTTTTTAAGAAATCTCCACACTGTTTTCCATAGTGGCTGTACTAATTTGCATTCCCACCAACAGTAATGGATTAAAGATCTAAATGTAAGACCAGAAACTATAAAACTCCTAGAGGAGAACATAGGCAAAACACTCTCCGACATAAATCACAGCAGGATCCTCTATGACCCACATCCCAGAATTTTAGAAATAAAAGCAAAAATAAACAAATGGGACCTAATGAAACTTAAAAGCTTTTGCACAACAAAGGAAACTATAAGCAAGGTGAAAAGACAGCCCTCAGATTGGGAGAAAATAATAGCAAATGAAGCAACAGACAAAGGTTTAATCTCAAAAATATACAAGCAACTCCTCCAGCTCAACTCCAGAAAAATAAATAACCCAATCAAAAAATGGGCCAAAGAACTGAACAGACATTTCTCCAAGGAAGACATACAGATGGCTAACAAACACATGAAAAGATGCTCAACATCACTCATTATCAGAGAAATGCAAATCAAAACCACAATGAGGTACCATTACACACCAGTCAGGATGGCTGCTATCCAAAAGTCTACAAGTAATAAATGCTGGAGAGGGTGTGGAGAAAAGGGAACCCTGTTTAAATCTTTAAAATCATTTACAGTAAATAGTTTTATAAATGTCATTAAAAACTCACTAAGAGAGTAATTTTATCCAAAGACACTCCTTTTAAAATGGCTGTATGCTCACTTGCCTTAGTCGTTTCAGACTCTTTGAGACTTTATGGCCTGTAGCCCACCAGTCTCCTCTGTCCATGGTATTCTTCATGCAAGAATACTGGAGTGGGTTGCCATTTCCTCCTCCAGAAGATCTTATCTACCCAGGGATCTGAACCTGCTCTGCCAGCTTGTAGGCAGATTATTTACCTAGCGAGCCACCTGGGAACCCTTTCATTTTTTACTTTCTCTTTTCCCTCTCCCCTTCCTTCCTTCCATTCATTAGAGCCACTTCCTTCTAGCCTAATTTGAAAAGAATGTCTTTGGTGTTCTGTTTACAATATAGTCTCTAAAAGTAATATTCAAGTGAAATATCAAAATTTAAGTTAAAACATTGATATTAAGATAGTTTTACTCTGGATTTTGGGTGGAGACAACTTTTTTTAATATTCTATTTTTCTAGTTTTCTGATGAACTGAAGGGTATAATATGATTTATTAACTTAGAAATGCAAATTATGTTAATTTCTAAACTTGCAGTTTTTAAATTAACTAGACTTGCAAGATTTTCAAAATAGAATAACACTAAAAAGAAGTTGTTTTCCCCCAAAACCCTAGAGCAAAAGTATCTTAATATCAAAGTTTTAACTTAAATTTTGATATTTCACTTGAATATTACATTTTAGAGACTATATTGTAAACAGAACACCAATAACATTCTTTTCAAATTAGGCTAAAAGGAAGTGGCTCTAATGAATAGAAGGAAGGAAAGAGGAAGGGGAGAGGGAAAAGAGAAAGTAAAAAAAGAAAAGCTGATTTCTAGGATTCACACTTATTTCCAAATCAAGACACAATATTTCCAATTAGGGTACAATTTCCAAATTTTAGTACAACATCATGGTACAAATGCTGTTATTTACTTCAGAGTAATCACTGACTCAATGAACATGAGTTTGAGTAAACTCCAAAAGTTGGTGATGGACAGGGAGGCCTGGCGTGTTACAGTTCATGGGGTCGCAAAGAGTCCGACACGACTGAGCAACTGAACTGAACTGGACAATAAGAGCTGATAAACTTGGATTTCTATCTTCATCCTTACCTAAAAATTCACCTACAATTCGCAGTTTGTTTGTTTAAATAAATCATAGTCAAGCATGATATAATATATTGCTTACATGACCAGATAATTGAAAATCATATTCTGATTTTGGTCTTTAGGAAAGCAAATGATTTTAATTTTTTTCTAAATATTAAAATACATTTCATGTGTTTAGGCACTGCTTATTGCATATTTAAAGTATAATGGTATCTTAAAAATTCACCTCAAAGAAGAATTGAAATATAATTTTCTTGACCTTTGACTAGAGTAAGATTCCATGGGCTTGATATAATTATCAGTTCCAAGGACTTCCCTGATGGCTCAGATGGTAAAGAATTTGTCTGCAATGCAGGAGACCCAGGTTCAATCCTTGGGTTGGGAAGATCCCCTGGAGAAGGAAATGGCAAACCATTCCAGTATTCTTGCCTGGAGAATTCCATGGACAGAAGAGCCTGTTGGGCTAGAGTCCATAGGATCAATTTCGAAACATGATTGTAAAAAGAATTATCTTAACCATTTGACAATTTGTGTTATACACTATATATATATATATCTGTTTCCCCAGTGGCTCAGTGGTAAAAAAAATCCACCTACTAATGCTGGAAACACAGGAGATGAGGGTTCGATCTCTGGTTTGGGAAGATTCCCTGGAGGAGGGTATGGCAACCCACTCCAGTATCCTTGCCAGGACAATTCCATGGACAGAAGAGCCTGTTGGGCTAGAGTCCATAGGATCGCAAAGAGTCAGACATGACTGAAGTGACTGAGCACACACAGGTGGCATTAGTGGTAAAGAACCCAGCTGCCGATGCTGGAGACGTATAAGAGACGTGGGTCTTATCACTGGGTTGGCGGATTCCTTGGAGAAGGGCGTGGCAGTCCACTCCAGTATTCTTGCCTGGAGAATCTCATGGAGAGAGGACCTTGCACGGCTACAGTCCATAGAGTTGCAAAGAATCAAACACGACTGAGGAGCCTTAGAATACACACGCATGCACACGTATGTGCACACACAGTTTGTACATGTGTATTCATTCTAAAATATTTGTTGAGCTCTTTTAAATGTTCAGTTCTCTTCAGAAGTTAATGATGATGTGAGGAAAATAATTTATTCTTTAAAAGTAACTTTTTATTTATAATATAACCATGGTTATCTTATGTGAGTTAGAAGCATTTGAGCTTACCAAAATGTACTTCCTTTTTGATCTTTTAGCAGTGTTGATATATTTGCTGACATTTGAATTTCAAAGTTATAAGCCACTCAATGAACCAGGTGCAATATTCATGCAGATTTATTTGCACTTGTCTGTTTGAATCATACTTATATTCAGAAAAGCATTGGTGTCTCATTTTTCAGTACTATATTGTTCAGAATTCTTCCCTATGCTCTCAGACCATTTTTTTCATGATATATGTGGTCTAGATTCAGGTATGAATGATTAACTTTTTATTAAATAAGGAATATATGA